GGCAGGGCCTGGTGCCGCCTCTGCTTCTTACCTCAGTCTTGTGTCCTTTGTTTTGTCTCGAGAGAGGCCAAGGCATGTTCTCAGGCCTCGGCCTCCAGCGCTGGGGCTGCCGCCTTGCCCTTGGTGACGGTTTCCGCTCTGGGACGGGGGACCAGGGCTGGCTGTGGACTATGTGACTGGGAAGGGTGGGGGGAAAAGACAGCCTGGCAGGGCCTGGTGCCGCCTCTGCTTCTTACCTCAGTCTTGTGTCCTTTGTTTTGTCTCGAATGAGGCCAAGGCATGTTCTCAGGCCTCGGCCTCCAGCGCTGGGGCTGCCGCCTTGCCCTTGGTGACGGTTTCCGCTCTGGGACGGGGGACCAGGGCTGGCTGTGGACTATGTGACTGGGAAGGGTGGGGGAATGAAAGCCAGCCGGTGGCCGCCTTCGTTGGTGGCAGTCACCCTGGGGCACTTGACTGGCCTTGGGGGCTCTTGGCTGGAAGGAGTTTTGGAAAACCTCTAGCAGACTGACCCGTTTCTGAAGGTGAGGGAGTAGGGTCTGAGGGGGAAGTGACAGGTCCAGGGTCACTGCCAGTGGGTGGCAGACCCTCATGGGGACTGTGTCCTGCCCGGTCTTCTACTTTGGCTAGCAAGCCAGAGCCACCGCCTCGGTGGCTCTTTTCTCCTCCATTTCTGTACTAGTTGCTCACCAAGCGCAGCTGGTGCCCCTTCTGTCCTGCTGCTTCCCCGCTTCTCGCAGTCACTTCCTCACCTACCCTGCACGCTTCATTCCCCCGGGAAATCCTGTTCACCCTTTGAGGCTCTAGTGTCACCTCTTCTGAGAGGCTCTTTGCACAAGCTCCTCTCGTTCCCCTGGCTCTGCTTCCAAAGGCCAGGCTTGGTGCCGGGCTCTTCGGGAGTGTCCTTCCCGTCCCTGGAGAGGGTCCACGGCCTTACCAGATGGGAAGTGAAGGGCACCTCCTCTGGGCCTGGGAGGGGCACACTGGAAACGCTATGATGTGACAGGCTGAACGGAAAGGACAATGATGCCTGTCATCGTAGCACTGAGGCGGGAGGGTTGCCATGAGTTCGAGTCCAGCCTGGGCTACGTAGCAAGACCCTGTCTCAAGAAGTAAAAACAGTGACTGAATCTGCCCTGCTGAGTGGGTGTGTGTGTTGAGGTGGCAGCGGGGCAGCATCAACTACAAATGGAGTTGGCAGTCCGGAAGGGAATGGGAGGGCCAGTGGCACAGATAGAAGTCCACTTGGTCTTATAGAGGAGAGGCTCCTGCCGATCGTCCCACGTTCCCCTCTGACGAGTGGCAGCCTGGAGGGCAGTAGCATGCCAGGACATATGCGGAGCCAAGCCCAGGATGAGTTATGTGGTGCGGGACAGGCGATGGGGGGCGCCTGAGGGCAGCTGCGGGATTGAGATGACAAGAGCTCCGGGCTTGCGGGTGGAAGGGGAGAAGCTGAGCTCGGTGTGGCAGGCGTGCACTCCCACAGGTGCTCTTGATGGGGCTTGGAGAGGGCCCCGCCTTAGCTGGAATATTCTAGAATGTAGAAGGAGCCCTGGGCCTTAGTGGTCTCTTCTCACTTTGCCCGCTGGCTCAGGCTTCACGCTGAACCCCAGCAAGGCCTCCAGAGCTGTGCACCCTGCCACCAGGGTGCACTCATGAGGGAGGGCCTGGCTATGTGTAGAACCGTGGGCAGGCCTGAGTGGCCTTGGGTGAGTCACTGCTCCTGGCCTGGCCTTGGCCTAGGCCCCGGCCCTGGACCCGGCCCCGACCTCGACCTCCCGACTTGTGCAATGTGGATCTGTGTGCTTCCCTTGGTTTGCTCTTGCACCAGGGACGAGAGTGAAGCAGAGCTGGTGCACCTGTGGCTGTATGCACAGGCAGCAGCTGGGTGGCTGTGACTCAGCTAAACAGCTGTCCCATCACCTGTGGCCTAGGGGTCTCCCCTGCCTGGCATGTGGATGTCTGTGTGGCCTCTTGCACCCCAGCGGCCCTGGCCCCGTGTGGGAAGCGGGCAGCCTGGACAGCTCCCCTCCCTGGGAACGTCCGACCCCGAGCTCTCAAGCAATCGCGTGCAGCTGGGGAAGGGGTGGCATGTCCTCTGGTCCTCTGGTGGGAGGGACAGGGGCCTGGGTGGAGGGGCAGATGCCAGGCTGCTGAAGGCTCTGAGAAGAGTCCTCCCATGCTCGTCGTAAGGCTCTGTTCCAGCTGCTACCTCTGGCTGGAGAATGTTCTGGAGTGGCGTAGGCGGGGCGGTGGGGGAGGGGTGCCGCTGTCGCTGCGCCTGCAGACCATCACCTAGGAGACAGAGCAGGGAAGTGGGAAGCGACAGCAGGAGCTGCGTCCCGGGCTCCTGGAGAGGGCACCGTGGGCACGGAGGTTTATTTGCGATGCTCCTCTAAGCCGTAGGGGAAGGAAGTTGGTGGCCAGATTCCCAGAAGCTGATGAATTATCTTGCTCAGCAGCTTCCTGCCTGCTGATGTGACCTTGACAGGAAGCAGGGTGCGCACAGGCCTCTGGCAGTGGGCTGAAGGCCATGGCTGTGGCACATGGCTTGGCTAGACTGGCTGAAGGCTAGAATGGCGTGGGAAGGCCGGGGACTTGGGGTGGGCTACAGGGCAGGCAGGGTTCAGGTGCTCCTAGGTGGTTTGACCTGTGCTGCTTTTTGTTCTCCAGCAACCAATCAGTGGTTCATCCCAGCCGTGAGGGGGGACATCCCTCCAGGCTGTGCAGCCTATGGCTTTGTCTGTGACGGCACCCGCCTGCTGGTGTTCGGCGGGATGGTGGAGTACGGGAAGTACAGCAACGACCTCTACGAGCTCCAGGTAACAGGGTCCCTTCCCGCTGCCTTGCGGGGTAGGACAGCCAGGCAACGGAGCATCTCCTTCCCAGGCCACAAATCGCCCTCGCGACCTTCTCATCCTGGGACTCTAGCTGTCAGTCTTGATTTTACAGGCAAGTCGCTGGGAGTGGAAGAGACTCAAAGCAAAGACACCCAAAAATGGGCCCCCTCCGTGTCCTCGACTCGGGCACAGCTTCTCCCTTGTGGGCAACAAATGCTACCTGTTTGGGGGTCTGGCCAATGATAGCGAGGACCCCAAGAACAACATTCCGAGGTGAGGCTCCCTGCTTTTCTCTGTGGGCTGCTACAGGGTGTGGGTCCGCAGGTGGAGGCACATGGCTCACCGCCGTCCTTGTCAGATGTGCACCTTAGTGCCACACCGGCCTGCCCCTTCCCGGGCCTGGCTTGTAAAACGAGGGTAACCCTAGGTGCCCCTGAGAAGCCTTCTGGCTCTGAGATCTGAAAACCGAGGGGACCTTATGGACAGGCTGGGCCTGCAACCTGGGCCCTGGGCCCATGGCTTTCCTGCTTAGCAGCCACTGCCTACAAGGCTCCTGAAGGGTGTTTTCCCCTCCACCCGAAGTCAGTCCTGAGCCAACACCCCCCGGCTCTGGGGAGGCCCACATAATGGCTGGCTTTGTGTGTGCCTTCCGCTTGGTAGGGTGGGCCTGTCAGGCCGCCTCGCGGCCTTACATACCCCTTTCCGCTCCAGTCAGACTCATCCTTGGGGCCTGTCAGCCCCTTCAGGGTGAAGGTGGAGGAATCTGGACTCAGTCCTCCCTGCTCCAGGAGTGTGTGTACTGGTTGCTGGTGGGCACCCAGTGAGACCTCGGGGTGGGGGGCTGGCCATAGTCAATCTCCCTCTCTTCCCCTCTCCCAGATATCTGAATGACTTATACATCCTGGAACTACGGCCTGGCTCTGGAGTGGTGGCCTGGGACATCCCCATCACTTATGGGGTCCTGCCTCCACCTCGGGAGTCCCATACTGCTGTGGTCTACACAGAGAGGGACAACAAGAAGTCCAAGCTGGTGATCTATGGAGGGATGAGTGGCTGCAGGCTGGGAGACCTCTGGACCCTTGACATTGGTGAGATGCTGCTGTTGTTGCTCTAGCTTCTTCACTCCTCACAGTGAGCTGGTCCTCGGGTGAGGGGTCCTCCCGGTGCCTGGGCCAGGAGCATTCCTTTTGAAGAAGAATATGGCTCAGTTGGCTGAGTTGCTCTGTCAGCTTCCAGAAGAATAGGGAGAGAGGAGAGGTTGCTCTTTCCAGAGGGTAACGGCCCTGGTCTCTGTTGACTCAATAGTGGTCGAGCTGTTTGCAGAATGATGCATCCACCAAGTCCAATATCTGTAGACCCTTGGGCACCTCGGGACTGTTAAGCTGGTGATCTGGGGGTGGCTACTGTGACCTGGAGTCCTGGAGGGTGGGTATCGGTTCTGCTGCCCCTGGCTCGGAGCTGGCACCAGTGGAAATGGTGTGCTCGCAGCTTCAGCACAGTACTTCCTGGAGCATAGTCTGCAGGGTCCCGGGGACAGGGAATGGGGTCTGTGGAGACAGGAAGTGCCCTGGTCCTGGGAGAAAAATTGGGTCAGGATGTTCAGGCTGGCTCTGAGAATGCTGGAACCTGGTGCTGAGGGCTCTAGTGGGCAGGGGCAGAGGCAGAGGCAGGTGCAGCTCACTGGCATGCAGAGAAAGGCAGCCTCTTTCTTCTGCTGTCTACCTCTGCAGAGACGCTGACATGGAACAAGCCCAGTCTCAGTGGCGTGGCCCCCCTTCCTCGTAGTCTCCACTCTGCGACCACTATAGGAAACAAGTGAGTGGCTGCTCCTCCCTTCCCTGTACCAGCCCTAGGGATCCAGAGGAGATGGTTCTGGGGTGCAGGGGGTCATGGTGTTGCACAGCTGTTATCCCAGTGCACTGGGAGGCTCAGGCAGGAGAATCCCCAGTTCCAACCCAGCCTGGGCAACCTACTGAGAGCCAGCTCAAAATACGAAAGAAAGGGCTGGGGATCTAGCTCAGCATAAAGGCCACCCTCAGCCCGAGGCCCTGCCTGGGCCCCGCCTGGGCCCCATTGCGGGTGGGGACTGCTGTCGGCTGTCAACACTGGCAGCTGTGTGCGTGGACATCAAGGTCCTGGAGGGAATCTGGAGGATGGTGGAAAGCAGGGCGTGCCTCAGGTGGGCTGAGTGGGGTCAGGAAAGAGGTGACCTCTGGCTTGTCACTGCCACTACACTCCTCTCCTGCTTCCCCTTCTCAGAATGTATGTGTTTGGTGGCTGGGTGCCCCTGGTCATGGATGATGTCAAGGTGGCCACGCACGAGAAGGAGTGGAAGTGTACCAACACCCTGGCTTGTCTCAATCTGGGTATGGCCTCCTGGGGCTCGGTGTGTCTTGTGGGAGGCTGACCCCTTTGGCCCTGAGAACCATGGGGGGCGGGAGACTGAAGCCAGCAGTGTCCAGGGGGCACACTGGGAAGTGCGTGGCTCTTGTTTGTCTCCTAGTTCTCTTTGTGCCCTGTGGCCTGGGCCTCATGTGGTGCCCCTGCAGGGCCTCCTTAGCACACCTTACCTCACCATGGCTTGGCAGTCCTACTGTGTTCCTACATCAAATGTCTGTCATGGCCTCACAGCCCGCATAGGCAACTGCTCACCCCCACACAAGTGCGTTCCATGAGTAGAAACTTGGGGTAGGAAGCCGGGCACAGTGGCACTGGCTGTAGTCCCAACTACTTGAGGATCCCTTGAGCCCACAAGTTCAAGACCAGCCTGGGCAACATAGCAAGACCGTTTCGGGGAAAAGAAAGCCCGCCCTAGAGGTCCAGATGTCCGCACAGAGGCTTTACCAGAGCAGACGCCTGTGGCGGTGTCTCCGTCCCTGGAATCTGGCCCTCAGCCCCCAGTTGGCCTCTGCTCCCTGTGTACCAGCCCCCAGCCCTGGCTCCCCTTGAGCCCCTGCTGCAGTGGGCGCAGAACTCAGCCACCAGGCACCAAGTGCTTTCAGGCTCTATTGCTTATACTTTGACAGAGGGTGTGTGTCTTTCTGGGAGTTAGGGTTCCTTTGCTTGTCTGTGGTCTGTGGGTTGTAGCTTGACGTGTGAGACATGAAACTTTCGGCCGTGTCACACAAGGAGGCTTCCTAGTTTGCTGTTTATGTTTTATTTTTCAAAGTTTTTTGTGGCTTATTGCCAGACAGATTTGATTTTTGTTTGTTTGTTTCTAACTTAGTGCTGTGACAACTTCCTGCTTCTGATTCCCTATCTCAGCAGGGAGAGCACAGGGCAGCTGGGAGCCAGTGGGGTGGCTTCCTCTGCCCTCCCTGCTGACCCCAGCACCCACCCTTGTAGACACCATGGCCTGGGAGACCATCCTGATGGACACACTGGAGGACAACATTCCGCGCGCCCGAGCTGGCCACTGCGCTGTCGCCATCAATACCCGCCTGTACATTTGGAGTGGGCGTGATGGCTACCGCAAGGCCTGGAACAACCAGGTCTGCTGTAAGGACCTCTGGTACCTGGAGACAGGTGAGGTGCCGTCCATCTGGGCCCCCACCGCTTTCAACCCCATCCGCCTCACCAGCCGCCTTCTCTTGCAGAAAAGCCACCTTCCCCGGCCAGGGTCCAGCTGGTACGCGCCAATACCAACTCACTGGAGGTGAGCTGGGGGGCAGTGGCAACGGCCGACAGTTACCTTCTACAGCTCCAGAAATACGACATTCCTGCCACGGCTGCTACTGCCACCTCCCCCACACCCAACCCAGTCCCGTCTGTGCCTGCCAACCCTCCCAAGAGCCCTGCCCCTGCAGCAGCTGCACCTGCCGTGCAGCCACTGACCCAAGTGGGCATCACGCTCCTGCCCCAGGCTGCCACAGCGCCGCCCACCACCACGACCATCCAGGTCTTGCCGACGGTGCCAGGCAGCTCCATTGCTGTGCCTGCTGCAGCCAGGACTCAGGGTATGTGGGGGAGCAGGGGAGCTGGGGCCGCTGCCCTATGTCGGCAGAGGGCAGGGGCTGCTGTGGAGAGCTCACTTGCTCATGGCCGGCTCTCTCTTTCATCAGGTGTCCCTGCTGTTCTCAAAGTGACCGGTCCGCAGGCTACTGCAGGAACCCCGCTGGTTACCATGAGACCTGCCAGCCAGGCTGGGAAAGCCCCCGTCACTGTGACCTCCCTGCCTGCTGGTGTGCGAATGGTTGTGCCCACACAGAGTGCTCAGGGCACGGTAAGGTGCTGTTACCGGGCTGGGCTGGGGAACCTGGGTAGGACTGTCCCGCGGCTCCCTTGCTTTCACTTGTGTGCGTTTTCCCTCTGAGGTGCTGATAGTGGGCTGTCCGCAGGGAGAAACAGGGTGGTGCTCTTAGGGTCCTGAGCTTGTGTGGGAAGGATGCTCAGGCCATCTTAAGCTTGGGCCGCCCTGGGCTGTGGTACCTCGGGGAGTCCACGGCTTTGCCCTTGCTGAGCGTGTACCCTATCACTGAACTGCACCCCAGCCGTGACTGGTCTTCCAGAAAGATCCGAGCCTGATATGCTAGCCACCAGGGCTGCTGTTTCCATTGTGGGGCGGTGTCCTCCCTGTGGGGACTGGGCGGGAGAGCCAAGGCTGCTGCCAGATGCCTGGCAGGTTCCATCCTGGCCATGGAGCTCACACCTGGTGTCCACCACAGGTGATCGGCAGTAACCCACAGATGAGCGGGATGGCCGCCCTGGCAGCCGCTGCCGCCGCCACCCAAAAGATCCCTCCTTCCTCGGCTCCCACTGTGCTGAGTGTCCCAGCAGGCACCACCATCGTGAAGACCGTGGCCGTGACGCCTGGCACCACCACCCTCCCGGCCACCGTGAAGGTGGCCTCCTCGCCTGTCATGGTGAGGGTCCGTCTCCTCAGCTGGGATGGGACAGACAGCTGTCACTTGGGGGCCCAGGCTGTGGGTGTGGTAGCCTGGGCTCTCCCCGCTTACCACTAGTCTTGGCTCCCATCCCAGGTGAGCAACCCCGCCACTCGCATGCTGAAGACTGCGGCCGCCCAAGTGGGGACATCTGTCTCCTCTGCTGCCAACACGTCCACCCGCCCTATCATCACGGTGCACAAATCGGGGACCGTGACGGTGGCCCAGCAAGCTCAGGTGGTGACCACGGTGGTGGGTGGAGTCACTAAGACCATCACCCTGGTGAAGAGTCCTATCTCTGTCCCCGGAGGCAGTGCTCTGGTGAGTGACAGCTGCCAGGCCGTGTGATGGCCAGTGGTGACTTGGTGCCCTGGCCAAGTTCCAAGAGAGGCCCAGCCCAGGCTGTGCAAGGCTTGCTTGTACCTGGCTCACTCCTATGTCCTTTCCTTTTTAGATTTCCAATCTGGGCAAAGTGATGTCAGTGGTCCAGACCAAGCCAGTTCAGACTTCGGCAGTCACAGGCCAGGCCTCTACCGGCCCAGTGACTCAGATTATCCAGGTGAGCTCACGGTGCCCCTTGAAATGCTCCCTCAGCCAGCCCCACTTGTGTGCCCTGTGCAGGGGGTCCTGCTGCTGGGCAGTGCCCAGCCTGTGCACTTCATTGCCCTTGCTTCACCTTTTCAGACCAAAGGGCCCCTGCCAGCGGGGACGATCCTGAAGCTGGTGACCTCAGCAGATGGCAAGCCCACCACCATCATCACCACCACACAGGCCAGTGGGGCGGGAACCAAGCCTACCATCCTGGGCATCAGCAGTGTTTCCCCCAGCACCACCAAGCCTGGCACAACCACCATCATCAAGACCATCCCCATGTCAGCCATCATCACCCAGGCGGGGGCCACAGGTATGGGTGCGTCCCTGGGCGCTCCCTCTTCCGCCCTCGAGTTGCTGTGTCAGGCTCAGAGCTGCAGTGGGAGCTGGTGGTAGGGTGGCTTCTTGGAGAGGAGTCCCGGGGGAAATGGGGACATGGGGACATGGACACCCTCACAGCACCTGTCTTTCCTGGACCCCCTCTCCCATGCAGGTGTGACCAGCAGTCCTGGCATTAAGTCCCCCATCACCATCATCACCACCAAGGTTATGACTTCGGGAACTGGAGCACCTGCCAAAATCATTACTGCTGTTCCTAAGATCGCCACTGGCCACGGGCAGCAGGGAGTGACTCAGGTAAGGCTTGTGTGGCCGTTCCCTCCCCCGATCTCTGGAACAGTCCACCCTTCCAGGGCATGCCGTCCTGTGACATTGGTGGCGCTATGCTCTGGTGTTCTAGGTGGTGCTAAAGGGGGCCCCTGGACAGCCAGGCACCATCCTCCGCACTGTGCCCATGGGAGGCGTTCGCCTAGTTACCCCTGTCACCGTGTCTGCTGTCAAGCCAGCCGTTACCACACTGGTTGTGAAGGGCACCACAGGTGTGTAGCCTGCGGGCCAGGGTCTCGGTGGTGGCTGGGCTCCCCCTACGGAC